ATTCTTTACCGTCTGAGCTACAAGGGAAGACCAAGAAGGGCCTCTCTTCAATTATATGAAGGTTAAGAGAAGTGAGAAGGATGCGGAAGTGCAAAGCTAGCAGAGGTTGATTCATTAAGCCCAAGGAAAGAAACCCTCTCCAAAATACAAAAGCACAAGGTGAAGCAGCAAGAACTGATAGAGAAGTTGCAGCAAGGAACCCAGAAGACACAGTTAGGATAAGTAATGAAGGCGGCTACACTAAACAACAGATTTTCAGCATACGGGAAACTGCCTTATATTAAAAGAAGATTCCTTCGAGGACTTCTATAAGAGAAGTCGATGGCTGGCTCCAGAGTTTCAAAGGACAGGCTGGCCCTCTTGTCAAGGGCTAATGCAGCTGGTGACTTTAAGTCAAAGCCGATGCTCATTTAGCATTCTAAAACTCCCAGGGCCCTTAAGAATTAGGCTACATCTACCCTGCCTATGCTCTACAAATGGAACAAAGCCTGGATGATAGATAGCACATCTGTTTACAACACGGTTTCCTGAATATTTCAAGCCCTCTATAGAGACCTACTGCTCAGAAAAGATTCCCTGCAAAATATTACTGCTCACTGACAATGCACCTGGTTACCCAAGAGTTCTGAAGATGTACAAGATTGATGTTGCTTTAATGCCTGCTAACATAACATCCTGCTAACATGGATCAAGGGGTAATTTCGACTTTCAAGTCTTATTTAAGAAATACCTGTGTAAGCTTATAGCTGTGGTCCGGAACCCACACTATCTATGAGGTATGCATCCAGCAAAAGGAGACCTGTTTCTAGAGCTAAAAGGATTAAAAGAGATAACATGTGTAAAAACAGCAGGGTACCTATCCCATACTAAAGCAGTAAAAAATAATAGCTTCTTTCATGGATCTCTGTAAATCTGTTAAACTCTTACTCACCCTCCAAACCCCAATTTAAATATCTCCATAAAACCTCCTTAATTATTTGTTCTATTTTCTTCCTCCTCAAAAATGCAATTTCTTAGTCTTCTGTTTCCCATGGGAGTTACAAAACCCTCTACTGTATTAAATGCTTGTTGGCGGCCTTTCTGTTCCATTAGAAAATGAATACCTCCAGGGTGGAATTTTTATCTAACTACTGCCTACTCCAAAAGTTAAAGAATCAATAATGAAACTTAATTAGCATTTATTAAACAAGTAAATGATTTCATTATACTATTACAAACTAAATTCCATCACCTCCACTAGCTTGGTTCATCATGATGCTCTCCATCTATATGCCATCACTCCAAGGTAAATAGATGGAGAAACAAGGACAGACTATCTTCTTGGGCTCCAAAGTCACTGCCGATGGTGACTGCAGCCATGAAATTAAAAGATGCTTGCTCCTTGGAAGAAAAGCTATGACCAACCTAGATAGCATATTAAAAAGCAGAGACATTACTCTGCCGACAAAGGTCCGCCTAGTCAAAGCTGTGGTTTTTCCAATAGTCATGTATGGATGGACCATAAAGAAAACTGAGCACCGAAGAATTGATGTTTTTGAACTGTGGTGTTGGAGAAGACTCTCTAGAGTTCCCTGGACTGCAAGGAGATCCAACCAGTCAGTCATAAAGAAAATCAGTCCTGAATATTCATTGGAAGAACTGATGCTGAAGCTGAAGCTCCAGTACTTGGGCCACATGATGTGAAGGACTAACTCATTGGAAAAGACTCTGATGCTGGGAAAGATGGAAGGCGGGAGGAGAAGGGGACGACAGAGGATGAGATGGTTGGATGGCATCACTGACTCAATGGACATGAGTTTAAGTAAGCTCCAGGAGTTGGTGATGGACAGGGAAGCCTGATGTGCTGCAGTCCATGGGGTTGCAAAGAGTAGGAAACGATTGAGCAGCTGAACTGAAATGAACAAACTAAAACCCTTATAGAGTCTTTCAAGTATTCCACAATACCCTAAAAAGAAAACAATCTTTACATACTTTGATACCCTATCAGCAATGTAATTTTTTAATGCTTCTGCTTACCACACACTCATTTACTCATCAAGTACAAGTGCCTCCTGCAGGCTGAGAGTACTGTACACTGGTGAACAAAATGAACAAAAAACCCTGTCCTTATGGGCTTTATGTTTACCACAGGTAAATCTGTAGAAGAAAGAAATTTCCATGACAAATATACCGGAAGACACAAAGTTATTCTTCAATATTTACTAAATATCAAAAGGATAATAAAAAAAATAACCTCTGACACACAAAATCTAACTACTTTAAAAAGTATGATGTAAATTCAGATTCAGTGTAGTAAACAAGGAAAACTAATTTTGTATCCCTAAAAAAAAAAGCTCATCCTAAGGATTCATTTCCTTGTAGCTAAAAGTATTTGTAATTTCTTTTTTGAATGGTTACTAGTCTTTGTGAGTTTTAAGAATTTTACAAATACAATTACAAGCATCGCATAGATCCTAATTTGAAAGGTGGTGATGTGTAACGTGGCCTCTTTGAAAATCTGTTTATAACCTTAAAACATTCTTCATTTTATAAGTGAGGAGAGCTTTTCACGCAACTTTGTATCAGGGCTTCCAGTCTAAGCGGTGTTCCTCCACAAGTAAGACAGGCTCTGCTGCTGCTGCTGCTAAGTCGCTTCAGTCGTGTCCGACTCTGTGCGACCCCATAGACGGCAGCCCACCAGGCTCCCCCGTCCCTGGGATTCTCCAGGCAAGAACACTGGAGTGGGTTGCCATTTCCTTCTCCAGTGCATGAAAGTGAAAAGTGAAAGCGAAGTTGCTCAGTCGTGTCCGACTCTTAGTGACCCCATGGACCGCAGCCTACCTGGCTCCTCCGTCCATGGGATTTTCCAGGCAAGAGGACTAGAGTGGGGTGCCATCTCCTTCTCTAAGACAGGCCATACCAGCACTAAATGAACTAGCTGCAATATCAGGCAAGCACCCTGGTGCCAGAGACACAGATGCTGCTCTTGCACACCAGCCTTTCTCCAACCTTATCTCTTGGTTCATCCTCTTTGCTGCATCCACCTTGTTCCTCAAGTATGGCTTATGGTTTCCTTTCTTTGCTCATTCCCAGGTTTGGCCTAGAAACTCCTTTCCTTATCTCTACTGTCAAAATACTACTTATCAACATACCATCTCCATCTGGAAGAGCTTAGGCTTTTCTCTCTTGGGGTAACTGTACCCTCTTTTAATTAACAACCCTCTCTGTGAGCCTTTCTTACAGAGCTTAGCTAGTTCTACCTTGCTCTAACCCTAACCAGCCACTCTTACTGAAGCATAAATGTTCCTCACTGTTCTGCTCATCTGGAAAGGGCCCTTAAACACACAACAGGGGCTTGATTTTCCTATCAGATAAAAGACTAAACATAATACCCAAATATCCAATACTTGCCATGGCTAAACACTAGGAAACTTCACTGAGAGATCTCTGCAAAACAGTATTGAATTCCAAAATCACAAAAAAAGACTCAGTCTTACTGAACAAATCCTGCTACCTAAAATTACATTATTTCAATATCAGAAGAAACAAAAAAAGGTAATCTGTTGTCCCATGCAGAGAATGCTGAGAGGAGGATCCTGAAGGCACTAGGTACTTCTTACAGAGAGGTTTCGTTTCTATTGTACCTTTTGGTCATTTTAGGCTTTAATAAGCCAACTTAACATTTAACTGAGTGCCTTGCCCTGCTTCACTAATTAACAGTGCAATCAACAAACAAAAGGGAAATCAGTAATAACCAATTCTGGATATAAAGTGCAGTGAGCTGGTTCCTATGGTTCCTACATGTGGAGTTGTATAAATAGGGCTCTCTCCCCCATAGAGCCTACAGAGAAAAGGTGAAAGCATAAACGTCAAACAAGTGGTGAATGGACAGATCACCAGGAGCCCTAGTTTAAAGGGTTCTTTCATCAATCCCCAGCCACAGGGAAGAAACACTTCAACAGCACCCTAAAGGAAACAAGAAACTGAATCATGAAAGGAAACAATAAAAAAGCATCATCGGCATGCCTTACAAAAATTACTAGTGAGATTTAAGTCTCAACCCCCATTTTTGTCTCAAAAGTGCTTTCTAATAATACTGCGCACATTCCAAACAGCTTCCATCTGCCAAGAACTTACCAACTGCACCTCCCCTGCTCAGCAGCCAGGGTGAAAAACCAATCCCAAGGGAACCTCAATCCCTTCATTTTGGCAGAAAACTGCTAACATCTACCTTGCTGGGCATTTATCCACAGGGCGAATAGTTTCAAAGTGAATTTAAGAGGTGAACAAGACCCAAGGGAAAGCAGGAGAGACAAAACAAAAAGGAGAATGGGTGAATACAGATTTAAAGGAAAAGGTCAGAAAAACAGAAAAGTCAAGAATTTATTGGGGGGGGGGGGGGAGGAAAGCAAAAGGCAATACAAAAAGTAAACTCAAAAGAAGAGAATAAAATAATACTCTACCCTAAAGATAAATGACTCGAGAAGGAAAGTGAGGAGCAGCAAAGAGAGTCCAGATGACTTGAGGAACTTTAAAAATTCTCTTGCTGTGTCTTTTAAGACTGATTGGATTCGGAGTTCGGAATCCTAGAAGAGGCAAGAGTCTAACAGAGGAGGAAAAACTGAGACAACGTTGGAGAGTAAAGATATCCTGCCTCCTAAGCTCTTAGATAGACATCAGGTAGGGCTGAATCAAGGAAACCGCTGGTGAGGAGCCGGGTTCCGGGAAGAGCTTAGAGAGGCAACGATCACGCGGATTCACTTGCCCGTGGGCGACAGAGTCCACGTGGGCTCGGGGAGACCACGGCGCTCCCCCACCCCCACCCCCGCCCTGGGGGCAGACTGCGAGGCCGGACTAACAAACAGATGGGCTCTCAGAACGGGCGCAAGAGAAGCGAAGTATCCTCGGGAGCTGGCCACACTCGACGGGGACCCTGAAAGGGGGACAAGAACGCAGCGACCAGGGGCAAGGGCGGAGTCGCCGGGGGCCCCGCAGGCGCTCTTGGCGAAGCCGGAACTCACCGATGCCGAGCCCCACAACCAGGCGGCCGGCGAGCAGCGTCTCCTTGTTGTTCGCCGCGGCCAGCACCGCGGAGCCGGCGGTGAAGAGGGCACTGGCCAGCAGGATGGCGGCGCGGCGGCCGAAGACGCCGTTGAGGGCCCCGCCGGCCAGCGCCGAGACGGCGGCCGCCCCCACCGTGCTGGACACGAGCAGCTCCTGCCACATCGCGTCCAGGCTGAGCTGCCGCTTGAGCAGCAGCATGGCCCCCGACACCACCCCGGTGTCATAGCCGAACAGGAAGCCGCCCAGCGCCGAGAAGACTGCCACCACGTACACGAAGGCGGGGGTCTCGTCCTGCTGGAACTGCCGCCGCGCCGCGCGCTCCAGGTCCCCGACGCCGCCGCCGCCCGCGCCCGCGCCCTGCAGGCTGGCGCTCGACTCCGCGGCCGCCAGAAGGCTGCGCTCCCCGGCCGTGCTCGCCGCGTCCGGCTCCTGCTGCTTCCTGCGGCGCTCGCCCATGAGGCTGCTCAAGCTCCGCAGAGTGTACTCCACATTCTCGCTCGCCTTGCGGGACATAAGGCAGGGGCCCGGGGCTGCCCGGGGGAACGAGGCTCCGCGGGCTGGCGGTCTCGGAGGGCTGGACAGCCCGAGCGGGCACAAGGAACCGCCGCCTTCCTCCTCCCGGCTCCCGCTCCGCCTGCCACGGTAGCAGCCGCCGCCGCGGCCACGCCGGGGAGAAAGTTGCTGCCCGCCGGCCCCGGCTCTGCGGAGTTGGAGCCTGGCGGGTCTCACTCCAGACTCACGCCCCGCGCCTGCCGAGCTGGCGCTGCGGAGCAGGCGGGAGGTGGGGCCGCGGGTCACGTGCAGCCCCAGCCGGCGGGGCCGGCCCGAGACGCCCCGCCCCTGCCCGGGCGGTGCCAGCCTCAGCCCACCCCGGACCCCCAAACCCCACCTCCCGATCGAGCGCGACCTGTGACCTAGGCTCCTTCTAACGTGGCTCTCGGTTTCGTAACTGCCCCCAGTCCCATAGTTTGGGGGTTGCAGCTGAGGAGCAAGCCAGCGTTTGCCAGCCCGGTACTAGGCTTCCAGACCCGGAGAAACAGCTTACGATGATTGCACGGTTTCGAAAGGCCAGGAGAGAACCACTTAGAAAAGCCTGAGGATGGCCAAGGCTGGAAGGGCCTAGGAAAAAACATCCTTTTATGGCATATAGCAAGTACCCTTCCTTCCTTTTATAATACTATGATATAAATGAATCTGTTCCGGAGCAATTCAGTTTCGCCAGTCCCTCCTCACTTTATGTTTATTTTAAAGGAACGATACATCTTATTTCTTTGAGGCCAGAGGTAACCTGTCTCCCCAGGTGAATCACAAAACTTGTTCCATGGATCCCTGATGTGTAAAAGAAAATTCCCGTTGATACGTTTCACTCTTGTGTCACCAAGTATTAATAGCTCCTCCTGGTACAAAGTAAACCCAATATTTCAGCTGATTTGAGGCTTGATAGGCAATCTCCACCAACACACTCACTAAAAGGAAGGATGTCTTCTCCCTGGAGAAATCTACACTGTTGTCCTCCATTTGCAGGGGGCAGTTTTAACTGTCTCATTTGTTTGTATGCTGTGTTGTGCTGAGTCCCTTCAGGCGTGTCTGACTCTTTGCAACCCTATGGAATGTAGCCCGCTAGGCTCCTTTGTCCTCGGGATTCTCCAGGCAAGCATATTGGAGTGGGTTGCCATTTCCTCCTCCAGGAATCCAACTCTGGTCTCCTGTGTCTCCTGCATTGCAGGTGGATTCTTTACTGCTGAACCACTGGGTAAGCCTGCCTCATCTTCCTGAAACAATGCAAAGATGACATTACTTGCCACCAGTTTTTTAAACTGTTAATTGTGGGTTATTAGTTTGTGGGTCCCCCCCCCCTTTGACTTGTCATTAGTAAATCATTCTATACAGCTTCACTTTAGAAGAGAAACTATGTCCCTCTGATTTGCTTTCATTCTTCAGGCTCAAGGCAGGAGGGAAAGCATTATATAATTCTATTCCTTATCATTTCAGTGTTAGTTGCTGAGTTGTGTCTGACTCTTTTGCGACCCCATGGACTGTAGCCTGCCAGGTTCCTTTTCCATGGGATTCTCCAGGCAAGAATACTAGAGAGGGTACCCATTCCCTTCTCCAGGGGATCCTCCCAACCAAGGGATCAAACCTGGGTCTCCTGCATTGTGAGCAGCTTATTTTACCATCTTTACTGCTGAGCCACCAGCTTTATTTTCCTTATTTTAGTAAAAGAATTCTTAGTTTGAAATCTATTTTTCCTTGCAGGCTAGAACTTTTTCCTTTTAAAGAAAAGGGTTTTGTTGTCTTGTTTCAATAAAAAGTTACATTATAATTTGTCAAAATTGCTTTTCTTTGAATTATCAGTCATGATTATCTCCATGATACAACACTTTCCTTTCCCGCTACTAGGAAAAATGATTTAATGGACTCAGAGGGCTTAACTGTTTAAACTTATTGTGTGACTTTTAAGTAAGGTTCTCTCATAATTCCCAGAGATCAGTTAAACAGAGAGCGCTTTTAGTTCTAGACCAATGAACTCTTTAATAATACTCATGCTTCTGTAAAAGATTCAGGTAAGAGCACGCCCTTTCCCAGGCCTGCTGATATAAAACTGCGCCATCTGGTGGTGAGCCATTCCATCGTTTTTGAAGAGCTGGGCTTTTCTACCAGAGGAGAATCGACTAGTATTGTTGCCAGTTCCCTCTCGTTGAGATGAAACAAACTTTCATTTACTCCTAGCAGGGACACCTTGTCTCCTGACCATCCCTTGATGGAAATTCAAATTTTGTGTTACAGAACACTAAACTACTTAAAGTGGTTCCATTCCATATCATCAGGTCACCTATGAAAAAAGGGATAAGAGAGTTAAACAGAGTTCTTTCCAGCTCTTCAAGAGTGCCAAGTTCGTTTTAGTACCATAGCATGAGTAAAATATAGTTTCCTGAAGCCTGCCACAATCGCAGATTATGGTGAAATGGAAAACCCATTGGCCAAGAATCAAGACATCAGTCCCATCACTATCACTGTTTTGCTGTACACTTTTGACAAGCAATTAAATTCGTCTATGCTTGTTTTCTTATTTGCAGAGCAGATAATGGTACAGCAATGACTTGTTTACTAGAAATGAAAAGGAATTTTAAAATAGACCTAATTCCTATTGCAGAGTAAATAATAATTATAAGCATCATTATTGTTTGCAAGGTGAATTTGAAAACCCAAGTTTTAGGTACACTTGTTTATAACCTCAAGAAATGCTAAGGACCAGATAGAAAAGGGAAATAAGTCAGAGAATGGTTTTAACTTTACTGCTGCAGATCCCTTTCCATTCATCTCTCCCACCATAATAGTCCCCTTCCCCCAGAGATAACCACGCCTATCAGTTTGAAATGTATCTTTCCAAAACATTCTCTCTGCATTTATATGTATGCATTTTTATGTACACAGGTAAACACAGTTTTGATATTGTTCAGATCACAAAGAAAAACACACATCAAACTGGTTTAGGCCAAAATTAGGGAGAGGGAGGATTTATTGTCTCTTGTCTTTGAAAAGTTTATAATAGACTGATTTCAAATATAACTGAATATGGGACTCAAAAACCAAGATGTCACCAAGAACTCCGTCTCACTACACTTCCTTCTGTGTAGGCTCCACTCTCAAATTCCATGTGGCAACCAAGTGACTACAGCAGGCTCCAAGATCTATTTCCTATTCTACTCGTATCTGAAGGCCAGTTAGTGCCCACAGCTTGAGCTATTAATGGAAGTAAATCATATGCGCTTAGATTGCAGGGGGGATGATACTCCCATAATAAATCTGGAGTCTTTTTTTGCCAGAAGACAGACAAATCCTGGGCAATAAAAACAACAGACTTGAGTTGTGAAAGTAACTAGTAAAGTGCTCAGTGGCTCAGCTGTGTCTGATTCTTGGGACCACATGGACTGTAGCCTGTCTGGCTTCTCTGTCCATGGGATTTTTCTAGGCAAGAACACTGGAGTGGGGTGCCATCTCCTTTTCCAAGGGATCTTCCCAACCAAGGGATCAAACCCACATCTCCTGCGGCTCCTGTATCGGCAGGCGGATTCTTTACTGCTGAGGCATCTGGGAAGCAACCAGTAAAGTAACATGGCATAAAAGCCAAATAAAGTGTTTCAGGAAGGAGGGACTGGCTAATAGTATCAAATATATTGCCCAGAGATCAAAGAGAATAAATGCTCTTATGAAATCACTGAAGTTAACTATTAGAAAGTCAATGATGAAGACCTAATATACAGCATGATGACTATAGTTAATATATCATATACTGGAAATTTGGGCTTCCTTGGTGGCGCTAGTGGTAAAGAACTCGCCTGCCAGTGAGGGAAACTTAAGAGACATGGGTTCAACCCCTGGGTTGGGAAGATCCCCTGGAGGAGGGCATGGCAACCCACTCCAGTATTCTTGCCTGGTGAATCCCACGGAAAGAGGAGTTTGGCAGGCTATAGTCCGTAGGATCACAAAGAGTTGGACACGACTGAAGCAACTTAGCACATGCATGCTTGAAACTTGCTAGTTGAATGTATCTTAAATGTTCTAACCGCAGAAAATGGTAATATATGATTTGATTATGGTAATAATTTCACAGTGTATGTATATATCAAAACATACCGTGTACCTTAACAATATACATTTTTTATTTGTCAGTCATACTACAATAAAGCTGTGGGGGTTGGGGGAAAGAGAAAAAAGTCAATGGTGCCTGCTGAGAATCAGAATATTGTTTTGATAGTATTTTGCTGGTAATATGTTCAGAAACCCAGTAGTAATGTCAGAATCCTGCCTTATTACTCATTCTTCCTTCCTACACATCTAATATACAATGGTAGCATCAAAATAAATATACTGTTAATAGGTACAAAGAAGTGGGTCCTAAGGCTAATTTTGAGGTATCATAGATGCACTTCCCCCAAAATCTTGCACTTCTTTGACTTATTCTAAGAAGAGATGGAATAAGGGAGGCAGGAATGGAAGGTAAAAAGTAAGGATGGTCAGCATGCCCAACAGACAATGCCCAATCTAGATTTGCTACTACATGGAAATGTGAAACAGGAAATACAAGAAAAAATAAAGTATGGATGATATTTTAATACATGTTTACTTCACACACCAGTAAACATGCCCAAACAGGAATAGAACTTGTAACACAACATATTATCACTTCCTCCTCTTTTGGGTGGGGAGGTTATAGCACCTCTTATTTCTCAGTGACTTTTAGGAGAGAAATTTCGATTAACAGGAAATTAGTGGAAATAACAAACTTGGCTACATTTTCTAGAAGTCTCTTGGTAAACATGATAAAGGCGAGAATAAAGAGATATAAGGACCAAGAGAAAGGGTAGAGGAGTTAGGCATGATTTGAATTTATTCATATACAGAAGTAGTTGGCACTAGTAGTAAAGAATCTGCCTGCCAATGCAGGAGCCACAGGACATGCAGGTTCCATCCCTGGGTAAGGAAGATCCCTTGGAGTAGGAAATGGCAAC